AGACTCGATGTCCGACACGCCGCAGGTAGTGCTCGCCGCGGGGGAGGGCAGCTGCTTCGCCAGAGTAGCTGCACGCACCAACCGGTTTGCAGCCCGTGGCACGCACCGCCCTGGACTGTTTGCTGAATGCATGCTGGCCCCGCTGCAGGTGGCCCGGCGGTTCAGCGTGGAGGTGCGGCAGGGGGACATAGTTGTGGCGGCTACAGACGGCCTGTTTGACAATGTGTACCCAGATGAGGCGGCCTCCCTGGTCTCCGCCAGCAAGGGGGGGGGGGGTGAGTGCGTGTGGGGTGTGTGTGTGTGTGTGTGGAGGCAGAGCGGTATGATTCGGAGGGCGAGCCACGGCTGGCTGGCAGGCCGGGGTGCGCGGGCGTGCGCCTCCCTGCCCCAGCACCCCACCGCCGCCGCCACCATGCCCGCTCGCGACCCCCTGCTCATTGTTTGTGTGTGTGTGTGTGCGCTCCCGCCCCCTCTTCCTACCAGGCGATGTCGGGCATGAAGTGGGGCAAGGGTGGCATCATCGCCAACCCCAACTGCTCAACAATCATCGCCCTCATGGCCGTCACCCCGCTGCACCGCGCTGGTGAGGCGCCGGCGGTGCTGGCGTGTACATGCCTTGCACAGGCACAGGAGGGCAGGCGCGGTGGGGCTGGCCCACGCAGTGGGGGCAAGGGCGTGTGGTGTGGTGTGGTGGGAAGTGCAAGCGGGGGTGGACCCGCGGGCTGGGGCTGCTGCGGTGCCCGCCTCGCCTGCTGCTGCGCCCCTCCCAGCTCTGATCCACACGTGCTGCTTTGCCCCGCTTTGCCCCACATTGCCCCGCCTTGGCCCGCCTGCAGCCAAGGTGAAGCGCATGGTTGTGAGCACCTACCAGGCGGCCAGCGGGGCGGGGCAGGCAGCGATGGAGGAGCTGGAGCAACAGACGAGGGAGGCGTTGGAGGGTGAGGCAGGGGGGGCAGGTGGTGCGGTGGGTGTGGGTGGCGGTGTGGGAGTGGTGAGGGCGGGTGCCGAGGCTGGGCCACCAGGCAGGGGGTGGCGGCACCGGAGGGTGAGGGATCGGGGGCAGGCGGCGGCACACGAGTGGGTGCGGCCTTTGGTGCCAGCGATGAGCCGCGGGTCCGTTCGACCCCAGAATGGCCCCTCTCCGCCCCACGCCTCTCCTTGCCGTCCGGTCCCCACGCGGGGCCTCCCCACCCCACGCGGCTCTCCCCCTCCCCTCCCATCCCCCTGCCCGCCCGGCCACTCCTCGCCACGCTGCTGTCCACCTTCAACCCCCACCCCCTGCAGGCAAGCCCGTCACCACCAACATCTTCCCCTTCCAGTACGCCTTCAACCTCTTCTCCCACAACTCACCCATGACCGACAACGGGTACAACGAGGAGGAGATGAAGCTGGTGGGAAGCTGCGGGGAAGCTGGGTGGGGGGGGGGGAAGCTGGGCGCTGGGAGGGGGGGGGGGGGGGGGGGGGGGGGGGGGGGGCGGGGGGGGGGGGGGGGGGGGGGGGGGGGGGCGGG